GCGACTCGAATGCCACCAATGCTTGGGTGCAATCTTGACGCGCTTGGCTTGGCCATTTGTCGAATCAGGGTCACAGGAAACTGGCGTACCTATTCTTTACGAGATACGACGTAACTCTTATCTACACTGTGGTTTAATATGACCGCCGATCATCCGATGATCTGTGCGCAGAACTCAGAGATCGTAAGAGCGCGCATCCAACCCCGCTTGCCGAGCAGATCCGCACCATACCGGAGTTTTTCGGGAATGCCAATGATCTGATCTTATCGCTTCGCGCATTTGAGGTCCAATATAAGTGAAAGGCCACAAGGGGCACAAGTTTTCGAAAACACCCCGCCCGTGTCCGACTACTCAGTACTCTACCAGAGTATATAACTTCGCGCACGCGCCATACAGAATCATTCCTCATCCCCCCATCCCTCTCTCGCACTCATCTCTCTTCCTACTATCATCCGCGCGACTATCTTCGACATGGACGGCTCCAACACGAACAGCTCCAACGTCGTGGACAACTTCGACTGGAACCCCGACTTCACTGATTCCTCTAGCATGGATTATACCGTGGACTATAGCGTTATGTCGGACGAAGACAAGGCTTTCTTGGTATGCATATCTGCGTTAACGATTCATTAATTGGACTCGATACTTATTCTATACTCTAGTGGGAGTTGGGAGAGACGTTGGCCGCAAGGGCCGGCCCGGTGGTCGTCCCCGGCGACATTAGCACCTTCATGGGCCTTCCGGTGCGTCCGACCACAAAATCCTTAAACTTCCCGGCCCCTGATGTCTTCGAGCAGGCTACGAACGCGGCGACGCCGTATCAGCCCCAGTCCGCGGCGCTCCCGCCGGCCATCCCGACCACCGTTGCGCCCGAGCTGCCCTCGACCGTCCCCTCCCACGTAAACTACCCCGACAACCTCCCAACCAACGGTCCCATGATGCCGGAGCCCTTCGGCGTCCACGGTGTGCCGATGAACGGCGGCGGCTTCGACGCCTCGTTCCAGCACGGTGGCTACAACGGACCGTACAACCACAGCGGCTACAACGGACCGTACGACAATGGCAGCTACGACCCTGTGTACGGCAACAACGGCCACAACGTCCCTGTCGACAACGGCGGCTGCAATGTTCCGTTGAACGGCAACGGCCACGGCGTCCCTTTTGAGAATGGCGGCCACGGCGTCCCGATCAACAACAATGGCTACAACGGACCGTCCGACAATGGCGTCTACGGGCCTGTGTTCACCAACGGCGGCTCTATCGTTCCGTTGAACGACAACAGCCACGGTGTCCCGATCGACAACAGCGGCCATGACGTCCCTGTCTACAACAATGGCTTCGGTGCCCCGTTCAACAACAGCGACCACGGCGTTGCTGTCCACAACGATGGCTACGGCCCTGTGTTCGCCAACGGCGGACTTGACGTCCCTGTCGGCAACAATGGCTACGTCGCCCCGTTCGGCAA